GCAATAGCTAGAGTATCGTTTTGTTTTGTGATAGCTTGAGACTAGTTTTGTATTGCGATAGCTTGAGACTAGTTTTTTGGGATACCTCGAGTATCGCTTTGCTCTGCGGTAGCTCGACGAGACTTGTTTTGCGATAGCTCGAATTTCGTTTCTTCCGTAACAAGCCATTTGAGGATCTATAAATACAGAACGACGACAAGATTACAGATGACTTCAATCAATTCTTAGAGCACACGAGCTGTCAACCATGTTCTTCGGTACGTAAAAGCCTGCTGGTCTGCACACTAATGTTTTTCCCATATGGTTGTCCAGCAACCTCTTGATTCCTGATCTCTATTTACGACCCGTGTTTGCCACCGGTATAGTTGGAAAACATAAATGCCTTTGACGAAGTACTGATGATCCCTACAAAGATATATATATATATTTTTTAATAAACCCCGATAATATTTCTAGATTATTTACCATTTCATTTTTTGGGGAAACGCATATACATATATACACACAAGCGCTTAAAATCACATACAGTGCACCACGTATCAATTGTGAATATTGCATTAAATGTTACAGTCATGTAATGCGCTAAGCCTTTACAGCATTGATGAACTCTATAACATTCGCATCAGCAGTTTACTGTTGTAAACTGTACAACTGTAAATACAACTATTTACAGTTGTAGTTAGCTTATTATAGCAAAAAATAAAGAAGTTAATGTGGATGTCAGACTAAATACACGTTAATATTTTATAGTATACAAATCACACAAAGTACATTTAAATTTCATCAAAATTATTGAGACAAATAGTGACATGAGCGAGTATCAACTGCAGACTTCCAGGGCATATAGGAAAAAATATGAGCGCAATACATATTTTGTTTCCCATCCAAGACTCGGGTATATCTCGTTTAACCTGATTTAGCGGTAAAACGCCCACACACCTTCTCGTAAATCAGCTTTCCTGATGAGAGGTGTTTGGTGGTGTTAGCGGGCGAGCCAAGCCGGTCCCAGAGCGGCCTCCGCCCTATACTGCAGTGTAAACAAATGGTTGCCGACACTCCACAGAGGTCGAGGTGAAGGAACTAAACTCTTTCTCGTGCGGGTATTTGTTAAGTCTTTGAGTGACGAGGAAACTTCAATAATTGTACTATACGTATTATTATGGAGGATATACATAAGTTTTCAATTTAAAGTCTTTCCTTAGTGTTATTGATTTATGTAATCAATGAAGTAAGATTAGCTTGTTTAGTTTCGATTTGAGGGTTGACCTAGATCCAGAACACGTTACTACACATGTGGAGAGACCGTTTTAAACCGGGATTTCGGATGTATCCGACTTGCCGACTTGTTCTCGCATGACTGCAATTCAAGGCGTTTATTTAGATTGATCTTATACAGCATATCCATCTATCTACCTTGTTGCTGTCAAACATCAGAAACCCGACAGCCTTGTCACCACACTTGATCAGAACAGGACAAGGAGTTGGGATAGGACGAGGGGAAAGGATTGGTGCCCAACCACTTGGACGGTCGGAGATTGAACGCCAACATGCATGAAGCGAGACCGTCGCTCTAACATCCAGCCAAAGTCGTTGGACTCTTTTATTAAAGAGGGAATTGATTACCATTTTGGATTTCATTTAAGTAGTCTGAGAGAAGTAATATTTAAACTGCAATAAAATCTAGTAGACGTGATACAAAATGAAATTCACACCAGTTGTTCCATCTATCATCTTTTATTATGCAGGAAGAGCCACACATCTGTGAATCATCCAATAAAGTTAGCAAACGTCTAGACGTTGCTACTGCTGGGGTTAGGCTCCGCTACAAGTGCCTTTATGAGTTCAGCCCGTTCTCTTGAGCAGCCACAACAAAAACCGTCGTAGTAAACGCGCGAACCTAACCTATCGACCTACGCATAGAAAAACGTGGTTGTTTGTGAGCTGATATGATTGCATGCCATATTCATAGTATGCTATATATGGCCAACTGCTCGAGCATCCACCCACCAAACTCCCTTTATGGAAGAAAAACACTTCAGACACGACTCACAACTGATGACGTAACATTTTTTTTCGATCAGTACTTCTTTCAGGTCCTCTGCTCGAATCGCATCTCTCTAAATGCTTCATTCACGTATTGCAAAAACCAATAATTGTTAACAGAACCTAACCCAAATTTGGCCTAACTACTCAGCACATTCTAGTATGCAATACCATTTAAACTTGATAAAATGCAAATTTTGAATAAGCAGTTCGACAAAGTTATGTTCAAGAAATGTATAAGTACTTCATTAAAAACGATGTACTGCCAGAAATTCTAGCCATACTGTATATCCAAAGCTTGCTTACTATAAGTAGGGCCTGCACATGGCTGTAAACTTGCCAACAATTAGATAGGAGTGTGGAGTATTAGTAACTAGCTCACCACAGATGTAAATTGTTCTGCATAGGGGCTTTTATGGGCCAACTTCTGTAATCACTTGTGATATAAAAGACTATTGACATGTATATAAATGGTGTAACTAGTTTCGTAAAATTGTTACTTGCTTAGCTAAATGAACCTAGGAGTTCTGAGTATGGGACGCATAGTAAATGAAACAACTAACTTCAGTCTTGCCCAGATAGTGTGTGTGTTTTTCCTGCTGCGATGTTAACGTATAGCATAATACAGTAGAAAATTGTTGTAATCCCTATGTTGTGGAATAAAATCTAAAATCATTTTTTTTAGTGCTTGCATAATAACGAAAACATAACAATGACCTTAAAAATACAATGAGATGTCCATACATTACCAAAGTTGAAAACTACAATGCAACATCAAGCAGTCAGTAAACACAGTGCTATATTCCCAGAGAAAATATAATATTTGTTCAAACCACCCTGTGCGTATTTAATATTGAGCAAAGTCTAGGCTAAACGAACCAACCGATGATACATCTAACCACAACGTATATAATCAACATA